GTAAGTTTGACATGTCCCAGAGGAGGAAAATCTATAAACCTGAGATGGTAGCCAAACTGAATGATATTTAAGACCCAAGTATCTTTTGTGATATGGGCTCAGTTGTGAAAGAATGGAGCTAAGCGAGTGGTTTGTGAGAGTTCGAATAGCCTTGCGTTTGAGTCAAGGTACTACTTTGTTTTCTTGGCAGGTGGACAGTATGACTGACGTCTTTGTAAAGATGTTTGTGGTCTGAAGGTCGTAGCAGAAGAAGACGCTTGAGAGGATCTACTCTGGTTCTGATTTTTTAAATACATTTTATTAGTTTTTCACTCTCTCTAAATTTAATTTGTGCTTGTCAAACATCGTGTTACATGCTCTGCTTACAGTTATTTGTTTTTTACATCTCAGTGTCTTCCCAATTGTCCCCCCCAATTCCAGACATCTTTCAAACATTCAAACCATTAATGTACGTATTTTAGTATATAATATTGGCTGTTATCATGATATTACTTTCATAGTGTACAATATTCTCAAGATCTTCTAGTAACATACTTAATAAAAGTAGTTCCAGATCCATGCCCCAACCTTATATCTAGCTTAATTTACCTAAAAAGAAAACCCACCATATTACGTCTTTACCCTGGTTAATGCTCCCTTATTTCAATTTAATTCTCCTTTTTAATATAAAAGATATGCTCCTTTACAATTCCCCAAGTTAGATATATACACCCCCAACCTTATATCTAGCTTAATTTACCTAAAAAGAAAACCCACCATATTACGTCTTTACCCTGGTTAATGCTCCCTTATTTCAATTTAATTCTCCTTTTTAATATAAAAGATATGCTCCTTTACAATTCCCCAAGTTAGATATATACACGCTTTTCAACATTAAGGGCCCCCTTCCTATTTTCCCCCTTTTCATCTTTCTAAGTAATTCCCTCTCTTATTTCTCTTTTTTCACTTTTTGTTTCTCACTCTCTAAGCATTCTGCCATCTTTCATGCCCTCTGAAACCATTTTGTGCATCTGATTTATCTCCACTAGATCTTTATGCACTTGGTCTATCTTCAATAGATCTTCCGGGCTTTTTAAAATCAATTTTGCTGATTTCCTCCCCTTGTCTTCCCTTAATACTCTCCTCGGATCCAAGATT